AAAAAAAAAAAAAAAAAAAAGAGTGATAAAGGTGAGTCCTTAAATGTTTGCAGCAAGAATCTGCAAATCTTTTTAAAGATGCTTGACTCTGTAAATGCAAGATACTGTCAGGATTCTGGAAGATATGTGATTAGAAATTTCGTTCTTGCCTAAGTTTTATGTAAGAACGAGACTATGCTTTATTCAGCTGCCTTCATAACCCCTTCTCCCACAGGTGTTCATGTGTTTGTGTATGCCTCCGTCAGGCTAATTTTTCTCTTCTTGCCGACTTGGTCTTGCTGTTTCCTGCCCCTGTCCTCCTGTCACCAGAATCTCCCCACTCCCCACATCAGGCTAAGTTCATTTTTTAGCATTTCTTTTGTTGGGAAAAAAGTAGGGCATAGTTGGTGAGGAGGGACTGAAAATCATGATGACTGCAGGAGTCGTTTAGTCTGAAGTTGCCAAGGGTCTGAAGCGAAGTAAATGCATAGTCAGAGACTCTTTGGATAAAGAGTGAATGGCAAATATCCCTGTGGGATCCCCACAGAGTGAGCATAGTGACATATGTTTTGTGACATCACAGATGCTCAGTTATCACTGCTGAGTTGCATGTTTGACCTATGCAAACCTTATTTCAAAAATAGATAATAATTTATTTATGACACTATTATCTTCTATTTGCATAGCACTTAACTTTTCAGAGGAGTTCACGTGTAACATTAAATTTTGCCTATATTTGAAGGGGAGTCATTTTACCTTTATCATGTGCCCGGGGTACAACACATAGAAAAAAAAACAAGCCAGGCTATGCCTGAGCAATACATTTTTTGTCAAATCCGGAAAGCCAGAATGGACTGAATTGCCTGAATGCTGCCTCTGAGTCAACTTAGTTCCCCAAGTGACCTTATGTAGTTCTCATTTCTCAGCCTGGGAATAAAGCTCTAGAAGAAAGATGTCTGAGAACAATCTTCTTTCTCAGGCAGAGAATTTAGACTGCCCTTGGTGGCAGAGTCCTCCCTGAGCCCCCGGCTCGTGGATCTGTGAGCTGGGCGCACGCATGCAAGGAGGAAGGTGTTGATATAGGCTGGCTTGTCCTTCCTCATGGATCTGTAGGTCAGAGAGGAGGAGCTGAGGTAGAGGGATTACTTTCAAGTTACTTTTCTCTATTTTCTGCTTTATGTTTATATAATTGCTGGCCTTGCTCTGTGCTTATTTCTTCCTGCCTGTGCTCTGGAAGGTGCTTGGCATATTTTGAGGTATAACAGCTAAGCACAATTTTTTTTCCTACCTTTTATTCTCCGTTCATCCTCTCTGTCCCTTCTAGAAAGGGTCAGATGATGATGTTGTTTCAAATCTGAAACCTTTAAGATTCTACCAGATAAAAATTGTAGTTTTTGTCAGACATCTTGTACAGCGTGTATGATGCCTCAGTTGGGATAGATTCCACTGTGAATGGGAAAACTCTAAATATCAGTTGTGATTGTAAGAAGGAAGTTTGCTTTTTGTTCAGTTTCCATGCAAATGAACTCTGCAGGTAAACTTCCCAGGGCTGGTTCCGTGAGCATCAGGGACCAAGGTCGCTTCTCTATCTTGATGCCACCATTCCTGAATATACAAGTTGTTCCTTCTGGTCCAGTATGATGGCTGGAGTTCCACCAGTCACATCTACCTCCCTGCCAGCCAGGAGGAGGAAAGGGCAAAGGACATATCCAACCCTTTAAGACATGCCTCCTCCTTGAAGGACATCTCCCAGAAATCACGTTCAACACTTCCTTACCTCCAGCGATGTGCTGGAACCAGTCGGTACCAATTTGTGAGAGCTGCATCTCTTCATATTGAGCTCCATATTTACTGCCATCAAGGTGAAAGTTTGAAATAGCCAAGGTGAGAGTATTCGTACCATGGCAACTGGCAAACATTACAAATCAGGGCTTCCCCCATTCATACTCCTCCCCCTCCCCCAGAACTGACTGTTAAACATTTACTAGCAACCTGTTTGCACCCCATCGGATAGGACTCCATCACAAGGCCACCCCTAGCTGGAATGTGGACCGGAAAATGCAGTCTGTATTCCAGGTGACTGTGTGCTCACCTTTAAAAACAGACGTGATTTTAACAGATGAAGGAAACAAGCTTATTGGGAGACAAATAGCTGTCTTTACCGATATTCTGCATCATTTCCATTGTCTCCATATGTTTTTGTGCCTGGTCACTTTCAGGATTCTGAAATCAAATATGTGACTAACAACGAGCTCAGTGCATCTTTTTTATATGCTGCTGCTATTGATTTCTCATGGACTCAGGTTCTTCTCTTTATTCTCCAAAGCACAGCCAACACAAGGCAACCATGTTTTTTTTTTTTTTTTTTT